AAATTAAGACACTAAGAGAAGAAAAAGAAAAAAAAGAAGCCAAAATAAAAAACAACAATGATGAAGTTGCTCGCTTGAATTCTATTATTAATAATCCTCATGCTAGTGAAGAAGAAAAAAATAATGCTAAAAAGCGAATAGTGCTTTTGGAAGATGATAATAAGAAATTGAAAAAAGATCTAGCCAAAATAGCGAAAGATATAGAAAATAAGAAAAGTAGCATGCCTTCTGCACCAAATAGACCATGAAGTTTACCAAATTTAAGTTTAGTTGATAAAGCCTTGATTGCTGGTGGAGTAGTTATATTGGTTTATTTACTCATCCCAGAAAATAAGAAAAAATAACTGTTTTTTTTTTTTTTTTTTTGAATAAAAAGGATTTATAAACGGTTATGACTTGTCTTCATCAAAATATTTATTGAGAGGATTTATTTAAGCCTGAAAAGCAAAATAACAATAACTATCATCACCATAATGTTCGTTGCGCGGATTGTAGCGAAGTTAAGGGGCAGTCATTTGCTGTAAAAGTTCAAATATGATATATTGAAAAAGTTAAAGAATGGTTGAGAAATAATGGATTAACTAAACTCTATACACTTAATGGCGAAGAAATTCATTCTTATAATGACTTTGAAGAGTTTGTAGACAATAATAATTACCGAGACCAGTGAAACAAGTTGCAAGCAAGTAGTATTGATCGCAATTATTTTGGTGGTTTCGGCGGTCAATCACTTTTTTTTGAAACTGCTAAATCTATCGAACATCTCTGTCATGAATTCAAAAAAGAAAAAGATGAGGAAAAGGAAGACCCTGATGAGAGAGAGCAAAAAATCAAAAGTTTAAAAAAAAGAATTGCTAAATTAGAAAAGAAAACTAATCGCACTCCAGAAGAAGAATCAGAATTAGAAAGGTTAAGAAAAAAACTTAAAGAATTAGAGCAGAATACGGAAAATAAACCTTTTAATTATCTTCCTTGAATAATTGGTGGAAGTGTTTTAGTAGTGGGAATAATTATCAGTGTTCTAATTTTCAATAAAAACAAGAAACGCAGTTACTAAACGCAGTTCTTTTGGCTTTTAAAAATTGAAATTAAAAGATAATGAAAAAACACAGTTACTAAGTAAAATTACTTGATTTTTAGAGTGTTTTTTAAGATTAGAATAGTTTTTATTGAAAAGAGAATTATCTAATAAATAAATCTGTTAAAAATGCTTATTAGATAGGGAGAATTTAGTTTCTCCCGAGATTTTTTATTTAGGAATAATTTCTGATTATGTCAGTTCTTTTATTAATTAAAAGGTTTGGCAGGGATTTGGATTTGGGCTTGCTGTTCATCAATTACTACTTCTATTTGATCCTCTTTAAACTGTTTATATTCTTTTTTTAACTCATTTATATCAGCATTAGTTTTTACTCATTGTGGTTTAGCAAAGTTTTCTATATCTTTGCTTTTTTCAGTCTTTAGCCAAAGAATAAAGTCTAAGTCTTTTTTAGGATCTAATTCAGGAAAGGTAGTAAGTAATTCTTGATTTTCTTGATAATTAGAGTCTTTGATCGGTTTGTTTTCCGATTGTTGAGATTCTGTTTCTTCATTACTTAATTCTTGCAGATACTTGTTTGCCTCTTCTAATTTATCTCCAATTTCTCTTCATTGGTCTTTTCTTGTTTCTCATTTTCTTTGTAAATCTTGAGCAAACTCATTTTTAGTGATTATATTGTCTTCTAATTCAGTTCTCTTTCAGAAACTAAATCTTTCTCAGAAACTAACTTCTTTTTTTTCATAGACTGCTTTGATTGCTTTTCATAAAAGTAAAAGTTGATAGTTTCCTTCTCCTCCTAACTGTTGTTTTTTATTTTTTAACTCTTCTTTATGCTTGGCTAATTCTTTTTCTTCTAACTCTTTAATCTTATTTTCTAACTCTCTTGTTTCTCCAAATAACTCTTTTTCTGCACTGCTAATACAAAAAGCTTCAAAACAAATTAAGATATCTTTCAGTTCCTGATAGTCATTCCATAATTGTTTGCTATCTACAATAAATCTATCTCATTTACTTTCATTGGCTTCATAAAATTTTTTCTCGTAATAAGAAGCTCCGGCTTCCACGAAAGGACCAATTACAGCTAAGATACCTCCATTTATGGTGTTGTTATTACCATAATCTCCTGCTCCTTTGATTACTAAAACACCACCGGCAGCCGAAGTACCTCGACCAATTCACTGACCGGCCGTAATAGCATATCCTCATTTTCCTAATTGGTCAGGATCTTTTAGTTTAACTATTTCTTTATTGCTGTAACTATTAAAGAATTGGTGAATGTTTTTTCTGATTTCTTGAGGTCTGGTTGAAAAGTTTTTGATATCTTTTTCTCATTGTTCTTTTCTAACTTTTTTTCAGGATTGGAAGTCGTTGTATTTGCTTAGTTCTTGGTGAAGAATTTTACATTTAGCATCTTTTCTTTGGTTTGCTGAACAATTAAATTCTTGCAAACTATCTGGTAAGTATTCTAAACCACCATCTATATCAGTATTTCTAATATCTAACTCCTTTAGTTTACTACATCCTGCTAAGGGGGCTAAGGAACCATGAAATTTAGTACGTCCAATATCTAACTCCTCTAAATTTACTAGAGGAGTAAAATAATCAAGGGTTTGACTAAGGGAATAATTAAAACCTATATCTAATTTAGTTATCTTTTCACAGTTATTTATTTTTAGATTAGTTAGTCTACCGTTACTAAGATCAATCTCGACTAAATCAGGTAAATCTTGGATAGTTAAACTACCACCAGGGAGATTACTATTTCGAGCATCTAATTTCTTTAGTTTAGGACAATACTTCAAATAAGCAGTTAAGTTAGTGAAATGACTGTGATAACCGCGAATACTCAATACCTCTAAATTAGGCATCCTAGTTAAGAAAGTTGGCTCTTGGGAAAAGCGATTCTCTGAGATATTTAATTTAGTTAAATACTCTAATCGTTCGGGGTAAGTAATAGTAGTTAGTTTATTTCAAGATAGTTTATTTCAAGAACAATCTATCTCTTGCAATTGCCTACAACCACTGAGATTTAGATTAGTTAGTTGATTATCAGAACAGTTTAATTTCTCTAATTGATGATAGTTACTAAAATTAAGTTTTCCTGTTAGTTTTACCTCATCTAATCTATTTGATTGATCATCTACTCTATCTAATCATTTAATATCTATTTCTTTAGCATTCTTCGGATAAATTTGTTCTAATCAGGCTTGAGGTTTATTCCTTGCTAAGGTTTTATAATCAGTTCTTAATTGCTCTAAATTATCCTTAGTGACTGAATGTTTATTAGTTCGGCATCAGGAAGCTAAGTGAGCCTCATGTGTTTTTAAATCTTTAACCAGTTCTTTAGTTTCTTCTGGGGAGAATTCACAGTTTATTCATTTTTTAACATCATCTAACTCATGAGGTTCAAAACCAACTTCTATTCATTTTTTAGTTTCTTCAACGGTAAATCCTTGTCCTTTTCAACCAAAATCCTCATGAATTAATTTTCAATCTTTTTTCATTTCTTCTTGGTCTTGATTTTGATTACTTATTTCTTTTTCTATTTCGTTTACCATAATATTTTGTGTTTATTTTTGTTATTATTGTTAAAATTATTCTTTTAAAAATTCACAATCACTAAACGCTTTTAAGCACAAATATCTAAGAAATAGTGATTGATTTTACCTGTTTACTAAAAAACAAACAGAGTGTTATTCTAATTAGATATTTTCTAATATTTTGACCATAGGCATGATATATAAAGAACTAATGTTAAGAACTAATGTTACTAAATATGATAATAGTAATATTTACTCTATATATAAAGTTTTATTGTTATTTAATCTATCGGATAACAATTTCTAATTCATAAATGGTTAGTAGTCTGATCTTTAAATCAGAAAATTAGGCGATATTTTTTTCCATTGGTCAGTAAGAAATTGCGAACAAAAGCATCACGATCATTAGGATTATCCTTTGGTTCGGGTTCCATTCTTTTTTTATTCAACCTTTTTACTAATTCACAAATTAATTCATTAGCGATTACATCTTTATGATTTTCTTGATAATGATCGGTGATAGTGAATTTAGTTATTTTTCTTTTATTAAACAATAATTCACAAGAATACTCTCAAACTATTTCTTCTTTTAATTTATATTCTCGGAGAAAGAAAAATTTTTTAGACATGCACTCTATTACTTGTCTTAACTTTCTTTTCGATAATAACTTTTACTTGTAAAGGAGAAAACAATTGGTTAGCGTAACCCATTAGGCGATCAAGAGTAAAATGATTAATTCGATAGTGTAAAATGTCTTCTGTTTCTGCTTCACTTAAATTAAACTGTTGAGACAATTTTTTAATTGTTAATTTATTATCTTGTTTATAAGCCAAAATATTCTCACAAAGGTCATACTTACTTTTTTCTAATGGTGAAGCATTTTCTGGTAAATCCCAAGAACCTCCTTGATATTTAGGATCCTCTATCTTAGCCAAATAATCCTTAAAACTCTTTGCTTTCTTTGCCATGATAATTAATTTTAACATATTAACAATAGTGATGTTTAGCAATATTTAAAAAAAACTAAAATATATATATGAACTGATAAGAACTGATATAATAAGTATATGAGAGAAAAAAAGACTGACAGACAACTAACCAAGCAATGTTTTCAATGTTCTAAAGAAATCATAGTTAAGTATAATACTGGAACTAATGAATACATTAAAAAGAATGATTGATATTACTGAACTGAAAAAAAGCAAAACCAAGACAAGTACATTTGCAATTCCTGTTTATTAGATTTCTACTATGAAAAACCTAAGGAATATTTAAAATTAGTAGAAAACAAAAAAAAGAGAAGGATCTTAACTTCTTATATTTATGACAAAACTATCTCTTAGCATTTTATTTGTTTTTTTTATTAATTATCAGTTCTTATCAGTTCATAATTAAACACTATGAAAAACCAAAATAAGAAAAACACTAGTAGACTCGGCAATTATTCTCAATGGTTAAAAAATAAAAATCTTGCTCCTGTAACTATCAAGAAATACCTATACACAATTAAGAAATATGGAGAAATAGAAATTAACACTAATTCTATTGCTGAATTCCTTCGAGAAAATTTGAAAAAACATCAGCCTAATACTTTAAAAGGACAAAAAAACATTCTCGCTTCTTACGCTAGATTTCAAAAGATTTATGCGACAGTAGAGTGAGAAAATATTAAAAAAATAATTCCTAAAATTCAAAAGAGATTTTTTCCGACAGTCGATTATGAAGATTTAGAAAAGTTAAAACAAAACAATACCAAAACTGACCAAATAACCAATGAACGAAACAGACTTATTATAGAATTTCTATTTTATACTGGTTTAAGGGTTAATGAACTGATAAACATTCGCCACTGTGATTATCAAGAAGGACTTTTAAGAATTCATGGAAAAGGTAATAAAGTTCGTTATGTTCTTTTACCGGAATTCTTAACCAAATATTTTAATCCCTCTTCACAAAACTACCTCTTTTTAACGAGAAATGGCAAGAAACTTACTAGAGGACAGATCAGAAAAAACATT